ACTCGGTCCAGTGCTGCGGCTGCGGCCACATCCCAGGCCGCAGCCTGATGTTCCGCCGAGTCGTGACCCAGCTCCTCAGGATATGGCCCAAGCTCCGTCAGAAACCTCTCCGGGTCCATCAGGAGCCTGGGACGGAACCATCTAGGCGGTTCCGTCTCCCTGCGGCGAGGGGAAGCGGTCCGGAAGTCCATCCTAAGGATTGCTTGTTTTCTTTCAGACATTTAATTGCTAGCACTGGTTATGTTACCAAGTTAGGATAATGTAAGGACCCACTTCAATCCACATCTTAAGAAAGCAGAACTCTTGGAAACGGTCTCTTCCAACAGGAACTTTTATTAAGAGAAATTGATAGCAGGCATGATACACAGGATCTGAGGGATTTCCTTACAAATCAATGTTTTAAAGTGTCCCTAAGCAGCCCCCACCCCGCAGTTCTTCCGGGCGATTCAGACCGGCAGATTTCTAGGTGTTAAATCCAGGAAAGATAACATCAATCCAGCTCTGTTGTACACGATCATTCAACAGCTCCTCACACCTTATTTTGATGACAGATAAATAAACCAGATTCCGGAGGCTGCATCTTTTCACACACACCCTTTCCTAGCTGGCCGGTAAGGAGGGAAAGTTCAGAGGGGCATAGGATAAAAGGCTAATGGTTATATTATGATGGTTAGCAGACCTGAGGCGAATAAACAAAAGGTTACTTTGTAGTGAATAGAGGAAGTGAAAGTAATAAAACCCTCATGCATACTCCCCCTCCCCTTAGGAGTATGGCAGGATTCAGGAGAGGGTAAGAATTGATTTTAGATCAGAGGAGATAGATAGAAAGGAAATATAACTGGATCCTGACATCCTGCCCCCTTAAAAATAAGAGAGATCCACCTGTAGAGAAAATAAAACAGGTATAAAAGTTAGTCTGGCTTCATAGGATACTCTGTATGAAACCTCTTTAACAGTTTTGGGGCTCTGACATGACGTTTATGAACCCACTCGTTTTGTGAGGAGGGGAGGTGTTTCCATGCTACTAGGTATTGAGTTGTCCCATGATATCTCCTAGAGTCTAGGATTTCCTTTATTTCGAAGTGTTGTTCTCCTTCCACCATGATTGGAGGTGGTGGTGGGGGGATTTTTGGCCGTAAGGGTGACTGTTGTTGTCTTTTCAGTAAACTGCAGTGAAAGATTGGGTGTATTTGCCTGAGATTTTTGGGTAATTCTAATTCTACTGTTACTGGGTTTATGATTCTTTTAATTGGAAAAAGACCTATATATTTTGGTCCAAGTTTTTTACAAGGTTGTAGGGATTTTAGGTATTTTGTAGACAAATATACCATTTCTCCTACAATGAATGGTGTGGGTTCAACTCTTTTTTTATCTGCTTGTGCTTTGTATGCTTGCCTAGCTTCGCCTAAGGCTTTTCTAACTATTGGCCAAGTGTTTTGTAATTGTTCTATCCACTCTTTCAGTGATGGGATTGCTGGTTCGTTTGGGGTTAATTCTGGCATGGGGTTGAAACTTTGACCATTGGCTATTTGAAAAGGAGTGTAGCCTGTGCTGGAGTGGACTCCATTAATGTAGGCAACTTCTGCGAAGGGGAGTAGGTCCGTCCAATTCAATTGCTGTAAATTAATAAAGCATCTTAAGTATTGCTCAAGTACTGAGTTCGCTTTTTCTGATTGGCCGTTCCCCTAAGGATGATGACTGGATGTCAATCCCAGAGTGGTCCCTAAAAGGGATAAAAATCCCTTCCAAAATGCAGACATAAATTGCACTCCCCTATCAGATATGATGCGTTGGGGTGCCCCATGCAGTCTGTAGAGGTGCTGCATGAATAGTTTTGCTAAGGTTTTTGCGGTGGGAATCTTTTGGCAAGGGATAAAGTGCACTTGTTTGGAAAACAGGTCCGTAACCACCCAGATGACCGTGTTTCCATTGCTTTCTGGTAATTCCACTATAAAATCCATGGCTATTTCTTTCCAAGGGGCTGAGGGATTCACCACTGGTTGTAACAGTCCAGGCGATTTCCCTTGCAACCTCTTACAAGCTGCGCAAGTTGGGCAGTTGGCCACATAACTTTCTATGTCCTTTTTCATGGACGGCCACCAAAATTGCCTTTTAATTAAATGTAATGTTTTTACAAATCCAGAATGCCCTGCTGATTTTGTATCATGGCATACCTGCATGAAAGTGACCCTCTGGGTGGTTGGTATATATAACCTCTCCCCCACCCAGGGCTGTCCATCCTTGATTGTGCACATGTGTCTATTTTTCTGGAACCATTCATCTGTTTCCAAAGTTTTCCGGAATTCAATTCCAGTTTGGCTACCCAGCTGCGGCTTTATTTTAGTTTGGGCAGTGGTGGTTACTGGCGCTGCCAGTTGTGGTTCAGGCATGAGTGGTTTAGAACCGGTGGCTTGTGTGCTGTTATATTGGGGCATGCAAGACAGTGCATCTGCCAAGAAGTTCTTCCCCCACGGCAAGTGCTTGAGTGTAAAGTGGAATTGGTGAAAATGCTGGGACTAGCGGGCTTGCTTGGGGTTGAGCTTCCTGGGTGTTTTCAAGGCTTCCAGATTTTTGTGGTCTGTCCACACCTGAAAAGGCATTTTATTCCCTTCAAGAAACTGGTGCATATCCCATATGCCTCTTTCTCCCACACGGGCCAGTGCTGTTCTGTT